CAATCGGCGCGCTCCACATTAGACTTCCCGTTTCAGTACATCATCGATAGAATTTAAAAAGACGTCAGATTAGTGTGACTTGAATTATTTTCCCGCGCCGGGCGTTTTTGCACCTGACGGACAAGCAAATCTGATCAACTTGGGTGAGCTGGCCCAGAACAAAGTGGAGACGAGCACGGCGGCTCGCTAGGATTGTCCCTCGATAGCTGGCCGACCTCCTCTTGATCAATCATCAATAACAATCCCGAACAATCTATTGATTGCAGAATATTATCTTTCTGCCCGTGTTTGCTCTCTGCTGTGTGCTGCGAGACAGGCCGCCGGTGGCTTCGGGACGCCAAAAACAGAGCTGATAAGGGCGAGTACGGAGAAGCCGGTTAACTCATCATCTATTAGCCGAGCGTGTCTATGGGTGGGTGCGTGCGCGCGTGTGTGTGTGTGTGTGTGTGTGTGTGTGTATACATGTGTGACTAAACAGTGGCTCCCTTTGACTTATCCTCACTGTCAACATTTAGAAAGTCAAGGTTAGTGAATGTTTTCCCCAAAGCCCGAGAGACTCGCCTGGAAATTCAAACTTTCCGCAATTTGGAGTCTCGTTACTCATTCTGGGGCCATTGTCTTATTGTGTCTTCAGGATGGATGGAGAGATGAGAGATGTGTATGACACGGTTTTCTGGCACTGGGGCTAATTTGCCGGGAATGCCCGCATGTCCCAAAACGGTGTGTTGAACTATTGGGCAGCAAATGTGCAAACAGTGAAACGCATTTCTGACGCACAGCTTCAAACTCGGATAACTGACTCATCAAATGAGTCACATTTCAAGCTTCGTACTTCAGATGCGACTTTTTGAGAGCAAACAGTGCGAGGGGACAAAAACCTCTTTTGCTTGTTCAAGTGACAACATTTGGCCTCCGGAAGAGGGGCTTTATTTGAAGCGAGCTGCCGCTCCGACTCAATCTTCTCGAAACATGAAACCAGTGTACTTATTGCGAAATATTTGGTTTTGAAAAGGGACGGGATTCTCTGTGTGACATCCGCCTCACACTCATATTAAACCCACAAACTAGCAAAATGAATAAAAACAAAACAAAAACAAAAAAAAAAAAACCTATTTGGAAAATTTCTTTGCAACAGGGAAACGGCCCAGTGATGAAACACACTCAGAGCACATTCACACCATTAATTTTATGCTGCTATTGATCTCCAATCAGTTACACTAATGATTAAGTGCTTCGGCCGCTAAGTGTATTGAATAGCGCTGATGTAATTCCATATTTTTCTTTACATTACAAACGTCTTTAAGCAACGGGTGATTACACTTTTAGTGCTCCGGTGGGGATTTCCACCGGTAGGACACTCTATGTGGAATTGATCTCAAACGAGTATTCACACGTGTGTGCATGTGTGTGTGTTTACATCAACAGAAAAGAATGCTCAGTGTGACGTCATTAATAAAATCAAGGTGTACAACCTTCGCCGCTGTTTCCGCCACGGGCGACAAAAATCGTGTGACATCACAAGTGGACGGTAACACCCACTATTGAACAAAACAAAGTAAAACGGCAACTTTTTTTCCCCCCCTTCTTCCCTTTGAGTCCCAGGAGGGGGGAAAAAAGTTTCGTTAAAGCAGACTTTGACGTCTTCCCCCCCACTACTGCATAGAAATGAAGAATCCGTTCACCAATAAATGGCTTTCTGTGTGTCCTGCAGCGGTCACCCAATTGTAAGATGCCTCCCAAAAATGGTGCCGCTCATAGAATTACACCACAACGAATGGAACTGAGCCGCCGTCCTGCTTGGTGGAAATATCATGGCCTGGATTCAATCCCTTGACCAGACTTATGTTTTTGGGAGCGCTCCTCTTCCGACTACAGTACACCGTGGAGACCGAGAGAGCATTTCCGTTTGTCAAAACGGAAAGAGGAAATGATCACAGAGCATTAGGCGCAACCGCACACACTCACACACACACTCAGGGCTATTATATAGCGTTGATTGCTAAGTGCTAAAATATTGCACACCTTCATATAAATCGGCTACATCGCTTATGTTTTGTCTGAAAGGAGGAAGAATCATCTTTTATTTGTCATGTACGCGCGAAATGTATTCCACCAAGGATCCAGGATCGATTATGTAGTGTCCCGGTAGTTCTGAAATTCGCTGGGTCGTCTTTTGACCACAACTAGACTTCAGAAATAGATAATAGACCGAGTGGACTCAAATGTCAATTCATCGCGGGAATATTTGGGAGGAAACGGAGTCACGTGTGACAAGCTGCTGACAAAAGATTGAACAAAATCATCATTCAGCTCTGCTGATGGGAGTGTTTGGATGTGCCGAAACGTGGCGCCACACTCCAGCAGTGAAATGTATGTTGAAGGACGACTTTACTACTTACCCTGCACTTACATGCCCTCGCTGTAATGGATACCAGGCATAAGTGGTAATGGTGCAATTAAAAAAAAAAAAAAAAAAATGATACAGAGTGCAAGAGGAGGCAAGCCTCGGTGAAAGGAAAAAAAAAGAGGGATGAAGCCAGTCAGAGCGATAGGAAGCCTCGGTGAAAGGAAAAAAAGAGGGATGAAGCCAGTCAGAGCGATAGGAGGGGCAGAAAGATGAGAAAGAGGCAGGGGGGGAGTGATGCAAGCAGGCCCGAAGAAGTAAAACGATAGAGGCGGCGAAGGAGGATGGACACAAGACAATGGCGCAGGGAGCTAATGGAGACAAAAGAGTGCTGAGGAAAGCAAAACTGAAGGAGGGAGGAAAAAAATCAGAGATGACACACACACACACACACACACACACACACACAAAAGAGTTTTTATCCCATTAGAAACACCAATACACGCGCGTCTTCCACAAAGCAGTCCCTTTTTTTGAAGTATCTGCCTCCCAATTTATCTGTTAGGCGCATTCGTTCGAATGATGTTGCCGATGGCAGCGATGGGGCAAATTGTGGCTTCGAAGCTCGTGTCGAGAAGTCAGCAAAGTAGATATCGCCCATCATATGCCTTGTATGCAATGAAATATGATACTGCGATCATTCAGAAGCTTCTTTCATTCCAATTCCCGAATTTATTTTGTCCTCCAAGGACATTTTTAAGCCTTTCGGGGACAGCTGCAGTGGACGGCTTGTTGTGTTATCAGGCTATCATTGTTGGTGCATGAAAGGGTTTATGTAAGATTGCTTTTTTTTTTTTTTTTCTCAAGAAACAATCTGGTTTCATGAAGAAGTGCAGAAACAGTGGCAAAAGTGTTTAGTCTGAGTGTAACAAGTAAAAATTAAATAAGACAAATCATTTATGACCACACAACCATGACTCTGGGGTGGAAAAAAAATGGTTGTGCGTCCGAAAAAGTAATTTGAAATGAAATTGGGGCGTCTTCCTAATTGTATGCTAATGTGCCTATAAAATACACCAAACGGATCAAAGGCCCACCAACTGAGAGGTAAATGGTCACAAATGACAAAACGCGTCCCGCTAATTTAGCGCCGCTTTAATCATCTACCGTGTTGACTGGATGCCTTCTTTTCTTCTGTTTTTCTCCTCCTCTTCCGGGCTTGTTGTTCCACTCCGGCGTGTTTGTCTCTGTCCATGTCGACACGTCTGCTTTCCATTCGCATTTCTCTTTACAGTAACGGTGTCAATAAAAAGAACATTTGGAAGGCCTGCACTCTGCTGTTTGTTGTTTTGCGAGCCACTCTGAACACTTGACTCAAGTGCTTCAGATGAGGCTTGGTCAACAATCTGCTTTCCGAGCTCCCATCTGCAGTATCTGATCATTGTGTTTATGATGAGGGGGTGAGGTTTTTTTTTTTTTTTTAATGTTTTTTTTATGCGTCATAATAAAGTGCAAAGACCAAAAAGAAAAACATGACAGACCATTCCATGCATTTTTCTAGAGCTTCGGGACACATGACGTCAGAGACACGAGTTGCATCATTACCTTTACATATTTAACTAAAGGAACAATAAGTCAACTGTACCGAAAGGCTGTCTCAGGAAAAAATTTAAGAAGAACAACAACAAAGAAAAAGTCTTGAGTCCCCATCGTCCAAGTATTGTGTCAGTTCATCAGTGCTGTCACTCGGTCTCAGTCTTATCGGTTTGTCTTGTCTCGGAGTCGCATGGGGACAACGAGAAATGTTTAACAAATGGCCTCGAGAGAGTCAACGCCTCAACAAGTGCGTTCCTACATCGACGCTGATTGTTCATTGAGGAAGAAAGAACGGACTGCTCTCATCATCATGCGGGGCCGAATCATTCTGACAGACCAAAATTGATTGCGGCATAACTCATCAGACGACTCTTAGAATGACGTTACGACGACAGCGCATGGGCAACGATATCCGAGACCACGGAGGTCAACTTATCCAAAATGATTGCCGATACTGTCTGCACTTATGGACGCGTTTAGCAACACGGCAGAGAGCTGATGAAAGACGGAGCAACTCTGCCTTATTGATCCTATTGATCCCGTCTCACCTATAAAGAACACGCCCCCACCACCCCCCCATCCCACCCCTTTACACTCACCAACTGCTTGATTCTCAACCCCCCCCCCCCTCCCCTTGTTCTCAGAGCGGTAAACCCCTTTTGAATAATATCATTGCGCATTTGATCCTCACTGTAACCCCGATCAGAGGGAGTGCGCCTTGTTCATTGATGGCAGTGGTTGTGTGTGTGTGTGTGTGTGTGTGTGTGTGTGTGTGTGTGTGTGTGTGTCTCTGAGTGATTGCGATGTCTCTCCTTTTACATTTGGCACTTCACTTGGCTGCGCTTTTTTTTTTTTCCCATGTAAAGTGCTGCTGAGCCGGTTTTGATTAAGCTACAGTAAGCAGGAAGCAGGAGATAGAAATAAAGCGAGAGGTACATTTGAATGGTTCATGGGCGAACCCTGTTCCGCACGCCGCCGTTACGGGATGAGATAACACAAAAAGAGCGGGCAACGCTAACATTGTCCCTGTCTTGTCTCGTTTGCCATTTATCGGCTGCAGCGTGCAAGCGGAAGGAGCAGGACACGGCGAAGGAGCGCAACAACACACCAAAGAAATCCCGGTTGGTCTTCACCGACCTGCAGAGGCGAACGCTGCTGGCCATCTTCAAAGAAAACAAGCGGCCTTCCAAAGAGATGCAGCTCACCATTTCGCAGCAGCTGGGCCTCGAACTCACCACCGTCAGCAATTTCTTCATGAACGCCCGCCGCCGGAGCCTGGACAAATGGACAGACGACGGAGCCAGCCCCGGCGCCCAATCTTCAGCGTCCAGCACTTGTACCAAAGCGTGATGATCGGCGGCGGGGTTGGTGACGGGGATGAGGGGTAGGCTAAAGGTCGGGGTGGGGGGGGGTTGCGAGATGAAGGGCGCGGGTCCAGGTTTAGCCTGATCCAAACCGGGAAAACCAAACCTTTTACGTTACTTTGTTTTGTTTGTCTGTTTGTCAATGGTGACAAATTGAGAGAGGGGCTGCTCACTGTGACGACTTGTACCCAAAACCGCCTTTTGCAAACTCATCACAAATCCATTCCTAGAAGCTGAAGGCTAAGCTCTGCCAGAGAGCAAAACTATACTTTAACAAAAAAAAAAAAAGAAAAAAAAAGAAAAAGAAAAAAAGGCTTCACCGCTGGTGTCTCATTTGGGACAACTGACACACTAGCCTAAATACCAAAGACGAGAGGACAATATGTTTTCTATTATGCAATATAAGCTAGGAACCAACCGACGGACTATCCAACGAAAGCTTTATGACTACAGAATGTGCAAAGAATGACTGGACATTTCGTCCCATGTCCAAAACCGAGGTTACTTCTCACCAAAACCAAAGAGTACGCAATGACTTCTCACCAATGAAAACATCAAACTCCATTCTTCTTCTTATTTATTTATTTATTTATTCACGTTTGGCACCAAGTCACAGAAATTCACATTCTGATGTCACCCTTCGAGTTCAATTCCAGCGACAGAAAAAGTCATTTCCCCTCGGGAACGGCGTCGCAACGCATGCTATCGTTTTTGAACTTGACGAGCGTCGCCAGCGAGCTCCGATCTGAACCAAAGACCACAAAGGAGGCATAGAAGTCGTCAATTCTGCACGTTAGGAAATGGCTTGACAACGGAAGCACAAAGACACACTTGGCCAAGACCCTCCCGCAGGCACATCAACGTTCATCACAGTCTGAGCCGATATGAACAACTGCAACTTTGCCCCCCCGCCCCCCAACCCCCACCC